TTTTATCCGGGCGACGCGGTTTGGATGCTGGATGCTGCGGACAACTGCGACGATCGAGGAATGCTATCGGCGGTACGATGGCCAGAACAAAGGTTGGACGGATCGTCATACATGGAGATGTGATGGCGCTTGAAGGGTACCTGACTAAGAGCGAACTCAAGTGGGCGGTGACGGCGCTTTTGGGTAGCGCCCCGACCAGAGTACGTTTGCAAAGATGGTTTTTTGTTTGCTGACCCCGTCGATGCGTGCACATCGCTAGCTTGTTCTGCTGTCTCTGTTTGAGATCTCTTCCGAATCGTACGACTCTGTGCAAGTCGATAAAGACACGTTTGTTCGAGTCATGGGCCGTCGCTTGGCCAACGTCGACGTCGCCGAGGCGATTCGACGATGGTTCAAGGCGTTCGACTTGGACTCGTCCGGGTTTATCTCGTTCTCCAACTTCACACAGGTGACACCATGGTTGCATCCATCGGGAATGCACTCAAGGGCATGGCTTCATGCCACAGGCGTGCCACGCAATAGCGCCGCACATACCACTTACCGTGGTAGACACTCTCTTTCGGGAAGCCGACACGAACCACGACAACAAAGTACGTGTCCATGCGCATGAGACAAGCTCTCAATCGAAGAGGGCATGCCTGAAGCGTGCGTTTTCAAGCATGTTTACCTTGATTTTTCTCATGAATGACAAAGGTGAGTTTTGCCGAGTTCGAGCAGTTGATGCTGCTATCCATTCAACATGAAGCAACATCTACGCCGCAACAAGGGCGCGTCCCCACCGCGGCGACGTATCCCCGCCGCTAGTATGCGCATCACGCTTGTGGAGCCGACGCGGCGCTGGTGCTTGAGGCGCCCGTGTCCTGGTTGTTCACGTGGTACGCCCGCATGACGGTGGCAAAGTCCGACTACTCGAGGCAGCCACACAACGATTAGAACTCGAGCACTCGCAGCAAGGGAATTCGTCTGGCAGCCATGCACTCGCGTGCCGGTCCAAGCGTGCATGTGTCGCTAACGTTGTACAACGTTCGTACCGGTTTGATTTCATGTTCGCCTTGGTCATTTTCTTCGCCGCACATGTTGAAGATGCGCATGATCGTGCGGTCGTCGCAGTCTGCATCAACCTTTTTGATCATGGATTCGAATTCTACATGTGGCCCCGTCAATGGAGGCTTCCAGTGGACGGAGCATCACCTTGGTACGTCAGGACGCCGTTCCCATCTTCATCGGCCTCCGCAAACAGCTTGGTCATTTCCTTGTCGATGCTACAAGAGATCGCCCCATCGCTGGTCAGGCTATCCTATCCACACGTCGACAGCAGACGGACGACGCAGCAAAGCACCACGTCCCGACACCCCCCACGACGAGGGGGATATCAAAGGTCCATGTCGATCCCAAGGCGTGGCTGGCGACTTACTTGGTTTGGTACTCGTACCACATGGACATGACGCAGTCCATGACATCGTCCAGGTTTACAAACATCTGCAGCCCTTCATCCAATGCAGACGGCGGCGATGCCGCGACGGGGCTGCCGTCGGCGGTCACATGAGCTTCGGTCGGAAGCCCAACAATCCGCTTTTGCAGCTGCAGCCGCACGTCCATGCTGATGGAACTGTCGTACGCATGAAGCGCGAGATCCTTGGCAGTATGCAACGGGATCTATTCGACATCCAACGAGTCGTTGAACACATATTGGAGAATCGTACCAAGCACGGCGTCGATCCATCGCCGAGCCGCGCTTCGACGTCTCCCGGCGGCACCATGAGCTGCAGTGCTTGGAGGTACACATCGATCGCTTGGGCGTTGTAGAGCTCGGCCGTGGCACCAAGGAGAACACTGAACCAGCGCGCACGCGAGTTGTCCTTATCGATCTGCGCAAACAACTCATTTAAGTTGTCTGCCTTTGACCGACGTGGCAGGCTTGCGATGGAGCGACGAACCTTTTTCAGCCCTGCCACGAGACTCGCAATTCGCTTTTGGGCGGTGCTTTTGAGGCCAAATTCTTGGACGTATATATCCTACGCGTGATCGCTTGGCCAGTCGTGCCAAGTGCTCGGCATACCTGCGACAGCTCGGCGAGCGAGTACCGGTCGAGGCCGGCTCGATCGTCGATGTCATCGAACACGATCTTCTTGGCGTACAACTTGGAGATTTCCTTGAGCACGTCGGCTTCCGGCATCGCGTTCACTTTGCGCTTCTTGATGATCTGCATGAGCACGTTGTTTCGCTTTTTGAGCTTGGCCGCGCCGTTCGCAACTTGTTTTTGCATGGCCACCGTTGTTTCTACGCATGGATTCGTTGTCAGGCGGCGTGTCGTCCGTTTGGCTTCTCACCGGTCTGCGTCGCAGCCGTTCCGAGTTTGCGGAACCTGCTGCTCCCACTGGCGTCCACAAAGTCGTGAATTGGCAACGTCTTTAAAATATCCTGATGGGACGCGAGGAACGTCGCGAGGATGGTCGGGTTCAGCTCCAGTGGTTCCAGGAGCAAGTCGGGGAACCGGGAAAACAGCATCGAGACGAGCTTTGGCGACCGGTGGGCAATATCAAGCACGGTCTCCGGGGCGCTCTCCAAGTACCCACTCAGCACCTAGTCGAGAAAACAAAGCTGCGCCATGACAAAATCAACGTGCGATCGTCGGACCTGTGGGCACTGGTCCAAGATGGGCGCCAGGGTTTCCCCTGATGCTGCAAACATCGTGCCGATGGACGCGGGGTGTGCATTGAACACCGCCGTCAAGTGATCCGGCACTTCGGTCACGACGCGGGCGAAGACAGCCTTGGCGTTCACTAGAACGTCTGCCCAACCAGTCAGCGACATCTACTCTGGCCCCTAAGCATATCTTGGCATCGTACCAGTTAAGATGCTTGGGCTCGACTTGACGACGCCCGAGAGCAGAGTAGGGCGGTTGAGGAGCACATCTCGCAGCGCCTTGGGGGTTTTGACCAAGTACTCTTCCAGGGCAAGTAGGTTGTTATCTTTGAGGGCGCTAGCAAGAACTTGGAGAAACACGTCGGGCTTCTGGCTTAGGATGTTGGAAATGGCCGACCGATTCTGCTCGACGACTTGACCGAGGAGCGGAGTGGGGGCCTACGCGCGCCGCCATGACAAGGCACAAGTTGGTCGAAGGCATTCCACGTACTTGCAACGCGTTGTTGAGCAATGCCGGCGCGCGCAAAAACAAATCGCTAAAGAACGTGCCATTCGCCTCCATCACGCGCTGCACACCACGACCGCCGTCATCCAAGATCAGTGCCTCCATCGCGTCCGCATGGTCCTCCATAAACATGGGCAGTGCTTGTTTGTGCCGCTGGTGCATCATGAGGAGCACAGACTGCATGTCGTGCACGGATCGGTGGGCCAAAACGGATTGCACGAGGCGGATCTGGTCGGGCGGCGACGCATGCGTGGCTGCCGCCATCACAACGTCCATGCCAAGGGTGGATTGCGGCAAGTGCTGGCCGATCACGTTCAAGAGAAGTTCGTGCCGCTCCGTTTCACTCTACGACCCACCGTTCAGGCCGTCCAACGCGCCACAACGGCACCCACGAATCGAGCACAAAACGTGGCACGTCGAAGCCTCAACAGAATGTTTTCAACTTACCGCTGTGGACGCGACAACGTCGGCAATTTTCTCCAGGGGGGTGCGCTTCTGCGATGCTTTGAACGCGGACACTTGGCCGATATAGCGATCAAGGGACGCTTGCGTCTCTGCGAGCTTGTCCACAAACAACTGACGACGAGATGGTTTCGTCGACGCATTCGCAGACGGGGTCTCCTCCGGGGCGTAGACGGCGCGTTCGAGCACGACATGAATCACGTGAAGGAGGCGCGCATAGCTTGGCAGACGGTCGGCCAGTTTGGCTAAACAGTCGAGGGCAATTTGGACAGCCAGTGTATTTGGGTGGGCAGCGTCCACGACCGTCGTTTGGAGAACGTCTAGGAACATCATGCATCGGATGAGGCGTCATTCGATCCGTGGACGAAAGACGAGGCGATGGGATATGTACATGACGCTTCCATGTGTGCCGTCACCGAGTGCCAGAACGACTCGACGTCCGACGTTGACGCGTCGGCATGCAGCGACCATTCATCGACAACATCGAGCAATACGTGCTGCGCGTCGCTGACACGAGGAGATGGGGAATGAGGCGGGGCGTCCGCCGCCAGACGCTTGCTCATCCTGCACATCCGTTCAATTGACATCGATCGAGTGGACACGAACTTGGGGGAGGGCAGCCACGACGTCCCGGTCTTGTGGCTAGGTCGTGAAGACCCAGTCGGATGAGGTAATGGCGGCTGGTCGGTACCCTCGTGCATGCCAAAGTAATGGTCGAGAAGGAACTGGGTCTTCCGTCGAGCGGTTTCTTGGGCGATGGCCGTGTTTGGCAGCAACGTGGCGTGGCGCTGCTGCTTGAGCCCCGCCACGGCCTGTCGGTGGTCGTCGCGCGACTTGACAAGCTCGTCCACATTGAGTCGGTATCGATGGGCCAACATACATGCTCTCACTTCCAGGTGTTCTCGGCCGTGAATGTGGACCACTCGGGGAGCCGCGGCGGCGGCTTTTTCGCGCGGCGACGACGACACCGTGATGGGCCGCGGAGTGCCGGGGGTCACGGGGGACCACGTCGGGGGTGTGGATGGTTGCAGGGTTTGCACCTGTTGGCGTTGATCCAAGTAGAAGTTTAACCGAGACTTTGGAGGCGACAGTAAATCCTTGGCGTAGTGCGGTGTCGGGATCGTCCGCTTCAGGATCGGAGGTTGCTCGTGCACGTGCAGCACGTGAAACAAACTCGGCTCGGTTGACGGTGATGAAGTCACTCCAGGACGTCCATCAGTGCGGGACGCTTTCGTGACGAAGTCGATGACGGCTTTGTCAGGCTCCATGGCGTCCACAGTGGAATTGCAGTTACGAATGCACGGAGAGCGATGCGCCAGAAACCGTTTAAAACCGCGGGATGCAGCCCTCTTGCAGTGAGTCCTGCAAACGCGTGCGTCCTGTGTGGGTGCGCTGCTGCCCCGTGGCAAAGTTGTCACTCCGTTGTCATCTCAAGCTGTTCTGGAACTTCCAGCACTTTCAGGATGACCGAACGTTCAAATTCACTTGCCCTGCAGCCATGTCTGCGCTTGGACGAAAGAGATGCGACCCAACAAATTGAAAAGGCGTCGCAGGTCTTGGTCGAGGGTTCATCTTGTGTTATCACAATATCCTATGTCGGGTGTCAATTGATCAATGCAAACGCAGATCGTTCACGATCGAAGGACGCCCAACTTCAGGCTTCCCATCGCGACGTCTCATCATGGAAGATCGCATCGACCCATGCCGAAACTTCCACTGGACTCGAAGACCGAGGCTCCATGTCGTGTGGTGGCGTCGACACAGATTATCACCGCGGCAACCATCTTCAACTGTACCAACACTCTTGCAATCGAGGGAAGTATATTTCGACCGAGTATTCAGCTAAATCGACCGGACACATGAAATATTGCTCAAGTTATCGATTTTCCAGGTGCTTGAGCTGCAAGAGAACAAAATAGCTCTAGTACACTACTTCTCTCGAAAAGCCATATTGACCGGATACTGTATCCGGATTCTCTCCGCTACGGTTATTTGCCACACATTTTCAATCACAAAACCTCGTATCGAACATGTGCACACGCGTGTACGTCGGCAACCTCCCTATGGACGTCCGCACCCGTGAGTTGGATGACCTATTCTACAAGTATGGGCGGATCCTAGACATTGATATCAAGCAGCCCAGCCGCCCTCCCGCGTTTGCGTTTATTGAGTTCGACCACCCTCGAGATGCCGAAGATGCGATTCGTGGCCGTGACGGCTACGAGTTTGACGGCCAGCGTCTGCGAGTAGAACGCACAAATGGCGGTGGTCGTCGTTCCGATCGAGGTGATTCGAAAGGGTTTGGGCGCAACCTCATGGGCAGCGGCAAGTATTCAGTCGACGTGACTGGTTTGCCTGAGAGTGCGGCATGGCAAGACGTCAAAGACTTCTTTCGCAAGATTGGAGACGTGATTTTTGCCCGAGTAGATAAAAAGGGTGGCGGATTCATCGAATTTTCCAACAGGGAAGACATGCTCCGCGCAGTTTCAAAACTGGACGACACCGAATTCAAGACACGCACAGATACAACTGTCATCCGCGTCAAGGAAGCGAACTACCTAGCCAAGAAGAGCGGCGATTCACGCAGCCGAAGCCGTAGCCCGCGAGGTCGCAGACGTAGCCACAGCCGGAGTCGTAGCCATACCCGCAGCCGCTCGCGCAGTTCGAGCCGAGGTCACAGTCGATCCCGCAGCCAGAGCAATGAAAAGAAAGACAAAAAGGACGTTGACGACACGAAAGATGATCCTAAGCCAGAAGAGACGACAGAAGCACCCGCCGCCGCTGAGTAATCCTGGATGATACGTAGCTGGTGGCCAAGCGTTGGAGCGGCGCAATCGATTCTCCCACTGGCGGCGGGCGTAATGCATTGTACATTCATACATATGCGTGTTGTTGGGTCTATGATAGGGGTCTGCCAACCAGTGGTGCCGGTGCGGGCGGGTTGCCAAGATGCTTGCCGGGCGACTGCAACGACCAAGGCTCGACACCATCGGCTGAAAGATGCGGTTGGAGCGGCGACGGTGGAGTTGGCTCATTCCTTTAATTCATGGCAAGTTCTCGTATTTGGACGCAATGAGCCTTCCTTCACTTTCACGATCTCAATGGATCGCACTGATGGCGATTTCAAAGGCAGGAACAGTAGTCACAACAGTCTAAGAGCACAGATTTTGTGCATTCACATTGATGTATCTCCCTTGCCAGCTCCGGCTTGTTCACATCAGCAACTCTGTAATGGCCAAGGCGAGTTATAGGGTGGTGCTGTGGAAAACAGCGACCGAATTGGAAGCATTCGGCTTTTCATCGCCGTTTGTCTCGACGGCGATTCGGCCGCAAAGCCGCCTTCTCACACAGAGTTGGAATAGTCTTTACAGCGCCCCTTCACGAGTTGGTCGTTGGTGACAGCGGTGGTTATGTCAACATGCTCAAAATTTTGCCTTCCAAAGTGTGATTCCCAACGCACGTGATTCAGATTCAGTTCTCGAAGGGTCCAACGCTTGTGTCGCTACTATCGCAGGCCCCAAACACATCTACGCTAGAGAGAGCATCAAAAGGTATGCATCGTCGCGGAATTGGGGGATCGCCGCCGTCTTCCGCCATAATCACACACTCCGCTGGGACGCCGCACGAAATCTCATGCAACAACTCTTTCGGTTTCAGTCGGGTACACGCTTTCTTGTTTCAAACAGTTCCGGATAATGAAAAGGTCAAATTGCATGTTCAAGTATACAAATTTGCATAAAAATCGAACGAGGCCAAAGCTGCTATATTTAAATCAAAGCCACCCTCTCAATTGCACATGCCAGCCCATCGCCCGTCGGTTCTGTGCCACATCGTTATCCGGATAATTTCCCTTGAAGTACGGGACCAGCTGGTGGTTTCAAGGCATTCCAGAATATCCTGGTTGAGTTGGTCGTACTTATATACAAAAAAGAGCACAAAATCGACGACATGTCGCAGCACGACCAAATCTGGGGTTGACTTGACAATTGTATTCCAAGGTGGCGCCATCCACATAGGTTTATATTAATATTCACATAAATATTGATAAATATATGTAGTAGAAGAAGCAGAATTAAATTGCGGGTATGTTCTCCGATTGGAGCCGGCGTCCAACCAGGCGTCCAGTACAATTGATACATTTCTTGTACAACGTACTATGAAACTAAAACTGGATATAGAGAAGCTTGCATAACATGTATGAGACGTACATTCGGGTACGCTACGATAGCGAATATTGGTGGATGGAACGTGATAGAATGCAATTCGAAGATAATAATACAGAAATCCAGTATAGGGTGGGGTATTTTTTTATTGTTTGATCGGATTTAGAGTTTGTATACGTTCGATTTTTTTTGGATGGTTTTTTGGGAGAGGTGGGCGAATTAGAAGCAAATGTTCATTTTTTCATTTGCTGTTGTTAGTGTCGGCAGGTCTGGAAGGAACATGCTCGTTACCGCGATGGACCATATTCATCAGTCGAGACGCCTAAACCTTGGCTTGATGAGCTCCCATGAGGCTGACGCCGACTCGGAGTACCTGGACCTGGCGAACCATAACATGCATGCGCCCCCTCTATCGTCGTACCACTTGTCTTTGCAACACTCCCACTCGTTGGACTTGAACGCGCAATATCTCGACCAAGACGGCCTTCAGGACGACCAGTATACGTTGGGAGGTCAGCTCTCAAGTCCCAAGAACAACGCGAAGCCGTCGCTTTACAAAACCGAGTTGTGCAAGCGGTTCTCCGAATACGGTAGCTGCCGATACGGCGCCAAGTGCCAATTTGCCCATGGTTTGCCGGAACTTCGCCACGTCTTGCGCCACCCCAAGTACAAAACTACCAAGTGCAAGTCGTACTGGGGCTCTGGACACTGTCCGTACGGAAGCCGATGCCGCTTCATTCACGAAGAGGAAGTCTACAACCCGAACGTGAAGAACTCGTTCCGCGGTGGAATCACCCAAGACAATGAATTATCCCCGACTGGACAGAGTGGCCCGTCGTTCTTGAACTCGTCCCCGTACGCCCCCGACTTTTCCCCAACATCCTCCGATATGGGCCCTGGCATCTACACCACCGACTTTTCCCACGGCCCTAGCTCGCCGCATTCGTGGCTTGGCGACGGAAGTCGCAGTAATTTTATTCGCTCGTCTCCCAGCGACATCATGTATCCTACCAAGTCCACCCCTATTGGACCCAAGAAATCCCCCATGGCTGGTAGTCATCATCAGAACGACCTCGACCACGGCGCGGAGTACTCTGGTCTGCAAGACGCCATCAAGGTGCTTATGAACTTTAACTACGACGAGTCGGCGCCGTCGATTGCCCCCGCGTCTTCCCCTTCCGGCGCGTCCCCGTTGTCGATCAAATCGCCTCTGGCCCGTGGAGACATGTCGCTCCACGCGGATGAGTTGTGGAAGGACTTCAGTGCTGCTTCCATCTCCGACGCTGCCGATGACGTGTCTGCCTCGACTTCGTCCGATTGGTTTCGCAAGGACGTGCAACAACCTCCGACGTCTTCCTCTGGTGCGACGCCTTCCCAGGCCGAAAGCCGCGACGACATCTCGCGCTTGAGCTTTTTCACCAAGTTCAAATAAGTTGCGATTCTGTCGATGGACTCCAAGTCGTCCAGCGGCTGCTCCACACAGCGCGGCGCGATTGTACAAAGGGAAGACGCGATTATTTTATTTTATTTACAGGTATAAATATTTCCACTGTTCCAATGACATGGCTTGCTCCGCTCTACTGCCCAAGCCTCTGAACGGACCCTTTGCAGCGCGCATGGATGTGCGCAGAAGTGCGCTAGAAGCATTCATGTTCGAGGGATTGACGGTGGGAGCGCGATGGGGGGCCGGCGCCAGCCAGTCAGTAGGGCTGGCCAATTGAACGATCCGGCGACCATTACACATAACTGCGGGTGAGACTAACGCAAAGAATATCGGCGGGACGGAGAACAGCGATCTTGCCCAGTCGGGCCATTGTGTCTCCGCAAGCCCAAGGACATAGCTGAACGGCTCCAGAGCGATGTCATGAGTAGCGTGGTGTGGGGCCGTCTTGCCAGCCGCCGTTTTGGAACGACGAGTCGTTTCACTAGTATGCACTTGGTATTAGTAGTACTAATAATGCTAGTATATACTGTTAGTAGATTTGGTTCGCAAACGCAGCGGCGTTTGGAAACGCAAGGCAAAGAATTGACAGTCCGCGAAGGCATCCGGGGGACCAAGGTTAGGGTTATGTGCATATATTCCTTTTGACAGCAGTCCACTTACACGAATATAATACCTTCCGAAAATTCATATTATGCGTTTATAGAGGTTATGATTTGTCGTTGTGGAAATTGGATTGACATCGATGTTTCGTGTAGCATATCTTACAGGTTATCGTTTCTCAAGTAATACTATCAATGAATGATGTTTTGATGCCAGTGAGCTCCTGAAGTATACAAAATTTCAAAAGAATAGGCAATCCGGCTTGTGAGATACGAATGAAGGTCCCCCGGACGCCTTCGCGGGCTGTGAACACGTTTTGGGTTGCAATCACGCGATGGGTTTGAATGAAAACAACGAATATATCTGGAGAAGGACGTCACTCGGTACGGCTGCAATGGTTTTGCATGCGTTGGCTGGACGACTGGAGAGGGGGTTGGATTGCCCTTGCTGGTCCGAGTCGAATTCCATACGGACCTATTTGGGTTTGATTTTTGTTTATATTACATATATTTTTCAAGCAAAAGGGATTTCAATGCAATTCAATGCGATCCATTTTGACGTGCCCTTTCCATAGAACGAGCGTCAACGTTGAAATTCACCGAAAGCGCGATGGCGACGACGAAGGGACTCGTCGTGCTTGATTACGACTGGTATGCGCTATGACGCATACTCCTCTGGCAACCTCTCAAGCATGTGTGGTACAGGAGCTTGATCAACGACAACTCGGATACGTATATCTTTCAGCAAGTGCAGCCTCCACTCGTGGGGGCCTTGAGGCAATTGTCTAGTGCTGGCGTGCAATGGACGCAGGCTGTAGGTAAGCGCGCCATGCTGTTGCCTTGAATTCCCTTGCGTCGTCTTGATGCATGCTCCGTTCTAGATCAAACACTCGCCAAGCTCGAATGTACCAAGGAAACTCTGATTGATGTGGTTGCACATATCCCCGTACAAGACGGCATGCTAGATGCCGTTCACTTGGCCCACGAGCGCGGCTGGGACGTTGTGATTGTCAGCGACGCCAACACGGTGTTCATTGATAGTTTCCTCGCGCTGCACAACTTGACGTCGATCATCCCGCGCGTGTTCACGAACCCATCGTCGTTCCAAGGCAACACGCTGCATGTGACGCCCTACCATCCTCTCGATCAGCCGCCCCATGGATGTCCGCGCTGCCCCACCAACATGTGCAAAGGTGAGAGAAACCATTTGGTCATCCAACGCGACTCATTCACCGAATTGCGTAGGCTCGATAGTGAAGCACATCAAAGCGGCGACAGCGTGCTCCAAGATTTTGTATGTCGGTAGGCCTTCCATACTCGTCTTCCAGTCTAGGATGCATACGAATGGAGGACCATTGCAATGATCATCCAAGATTAGGCGACGGCGGCGGAGATTATTGCCCAGTGGCGACGGAGCTCACGAGGTAACGAAACTGCACAGACCTCGCATCACATATACATCCTAACGAGCAAGTTGGTCTCCACCATAGCAAAGACGTCGTGTTTGCGCGCGACGGGTATGAGTTGTTACGTCGCATCCACCAACATCCCGTGCAAGCCACGGTGGTGCCTTGGAACACGGGGTTTGATATCCTCGCTGGCTTTCGAGCGCACTTGCAACGAAGCTGAACATCGTGCGCAAGGCTCCGATCCTGTCGACTGTGTCACTCCGAGTAAGACTAGGTAAACACAATACTCTCGACCTCCAGAAGTGCGGGGTACTTGGCCAGACGGAGGCCGTCACTCGCGAGAGCGACGATGGCGATAGTTCTCGTAAAGCGATTGCGAAGGACGGGTGTCTGTGAGGACATGGCATACCACATTCACGTCGGAGCCACGGCCTGGAACGCATGGTGCCGATTTCGTCATGCCGCTCAGTCCCCTCTGCTGCAAGCTTCGAATATCCGATTTCCGGATAAATTTGTTCGCACTTCCAACTCGACAACCAACACGCCATGCCGTGTTGGAGTCGACATGACCGAATTGACCATGGTCGCGACAATCGTGGTGCCGTCCAACGTCCTTGTGGCGCCCTCCACCGTCCTCGTGGCTTTGGACTACCACTTGTACGACGACCTACGCAAGGTTGCAATGTGGCTAGACTTGAGGCGGTGGAACGAAGGAGCTTGGTCAACGACGACTCGGATTTCTTCGTATTCTCGAGCCGAGTGTCCTGGCAGAACTTTGACACTTCGTTCACGCCAGCGCGCAAGTGGTCAAGACAGCCCGAAAGCTCATACCGGTAGATGCGTTGACGCACCCAACCATGCTGTCGATGACGCATTGGGACTTGCTCGAAGGAAAACCTGATGTAGACGATGGCTCGTCGGGTCGTGTGCATTATGACCGACGCGACTATGTACAGTGTTCATCCAGAGCATGCTGGATCACGACAAGTTGACGTCCATTATTTCGACACGAACCCGTCGTGGTTCGAAGGCCGTGGGGAACCAACGGTGGCGCCATTTCACCCGCTCGAGGCTCCGCCCCACGGATGCCTTCGGTGTCTCACCAACATGTGCAATGGTACGCAGCTCGTGCTAGGTCCTTGCGCCATCCCACCCAAGTTGCTCCGCCCATCGCGACGACACCATCCCATCAAACTGCACATTCTCATTTGAAGCACAGCAAAGACCTCCTCGTTTAAATTCCCAATGTGATGTACGTTAGTATGTCCAAAGCCTGGAACCCATTGACGGGGCATAGCGGCCATACTCACGAGTGTAGGTGGCGGCGGGAATGACCACTGCCCTGCCAAATCGAGGTGAGCATTCTCCACGACAATGGATCTCAAGTATTTGCAAATTCACGTGCTGCATGCTGACCTGTGCATGCCTTTGCGTATTGCGCGTTGAATTCGACCGTCGCACGTGAGAAGTGTGAGTTGTGCGATCAATCGAGGACGAGTCGGTGAATGCTGCAATGGTCGTAGAGCAGGGATAGTCTCGATATCCTGGCCAGCTGCCAGCGGCACTCGAGCCATGTTGCTGTCGTCCTGTACTTCGATGCTCCTGAAAACGCACTTTGACAGTGCTGAAACAGACGTATATTTCCGCACGCTTTCATTTCGACGTCGGCATCGACTCGATTGAACAACTCTCAGCATCGAGATGGAATGCGCAAGAGCGTTTCTTTGCGTGCGCGACGATTCCCCAACGACCTAGACGACGACAACCCTGCACAAGGCTCCAATATTCATGGCGTGGTAGATTCGGCACTGCGTTGGTCTGAAGTGAGTCGACCGAGCCAAAACTGTGCCCGAATCGCGTCGGCGATCGACAGCCGACGGCAAGTCTCGGCATGCCATTCGGTGACTCGAGGCGGAAGGGTGTGCCGGTCCTCTCGCTTAAGAATCTACTTCAAACTCGCTCATGTCATGCAATCATCCAACGCGGCGGTCGTACCCAGTCGAGACCAAACAGTGCATATCTCAATGCACCGGCTGTGCCGACGTCAGCACTAAACTGCACTTCGCGCCGAATGAAGGCATCTACTGCCGTCGCGGATGTCCACTCGAAGTTTGGGAGCGTGGTGTCGGTGCTCCAAACGGCAGGTGATCTGATTGAGAGTTGCGACGCTGCGATTTTCAGCAAGGCACGACGATGGCACCACAAGGCGTCTCGGTCAGGGTACATCGTTTGTAGACGTGAATGGGCAGCAAGTTCGTCTGCAACGACGGCCAGTGGCTGAGCAACACGGGGCAGCAGAAGCAGCAACACGAGAAGTCGAAGATTCCATGCTGAGCTGTCCGACAAATGGCGCTGGCACCAGGTCCTCGATGTGTCGTGGAATTCCGTGAGGAGCTGCACCGAGAGTCAGCAACATGCGAGGGCACGGAAGAGTGCACCAGCGGAAGCGGTAGTTTTGTGCAAATGCAGTACCGATACGACCACGCAAAGTAGTTGCGAGGAAATTCTTCACACAATTTTGCACACAACGAGAGTTCACGCGCAAGGAACGGTGCGAGGTTGTCGCCTACACCTCGCGCTCAGAGTGTGGCAAACGAGCAACGTCGCACCTTCAAGCCGTGGAACGAGACGTTGAAGAACCCAACGACTACGGGACGATGTGTCCGTGTGGGAGGCGATCCACTTGATCGTAGTCACGTACCGGTGGGCCCACGTGTCAATGCTCTTGGCATGATGGGTTAAAATGAGCCTCGAGAATTTCATTTCAGCCTCTTCCGTCACGATGCCTTGGGAAATGAGGGTTTTCCTACATGATGGTCACGACGTAGGAGGAACCGCCCGAAACGTACCTTGCATTCCATGCCGTGTAGAAGTCGGCGCAGACGAGCAACATGCACCGGGATGCTTTCAAAATGCCATCGACATCATTGAATTTGTTGGCGTGGAAGAACGAAGTCTTGGCTTGCCGGTGGATTGCAGGGATCTTGCTCATGGCAATGCCCAGCTTGTGCTCGTCCAGCACAAACGTGTCGTGGTCGTCGTCCAAGTGGATAATCCCGATTTCATCACTACTCTCCATCGTCACAACAAGCCCACGTGGATGCACCCTACATGTCTGGGTCCTCCGTGAAGAGGCTGGTCACCTCGGCCACAAAATCCCGCTCTGGAAGTGCACCAGCAGCACTTATCATCCTCCTCCTGAATGCAATGTAAACCACGTTTTAGTAATACTAGAAAAGTAGGCCGTAGTAGCTTCGTCGCTATGTACTACTACGTAGTACGTGCATGGCGCGTTCGCAGGTGCAGGAGGTTGTACGGGTGCAGGAGGGTGCAGGAGCATGCGGGAGAAGACCAGCGTCCATGGGTCGCCGCCGAGCAAAGAGACGTCGTGAAGTGGAATGCACACACAGCCTACCCTTTATCACGACACTTGTCTACCTAGTTTTGTCCAGCGATGGTCGCCGCATACGACTCAAACCACGCAAGGGACTCGGGGTTGCGCAATGCACTGGCGTTGGTGATGGTTTTGCCCGCCAAGATGCGCTTCACGGCGATTTCGACCTTCTTGCCACTCACGGTGTACGGGATGTCGGGACAGGCCACGATGAGCCCTGGCACGTGTCGAGGAGACGTTTCCTTGCGGATCTTGGCGCAGATCGACTTTTGGAGCTCCGCCGTCAGGTGGACACCGGCTGGCAACACGACAAACAGGACGATCTTCACGTCCGGCGTCCCATCCGACAGCGTGTAATCCTAGAGAAGTCCCGTCACGGCGCTACTACTACTTTTCAACGTCGTACCTGGCCCACGATCACCGAGTCGGCCACTTCCTTGATGTGCTCCACGACCTTGTAAATGTCGGCCGTGCCGATGCGCACACCACCTACGACGAAAGGCAGCGTTTGTGAGTGCATGCTACGACCGATTCATGCTGGTGTAGCGAGTGTGTTTGTACCAGGGTTCAACGTGGCATCGGAGCGGCCGTACAGCACCATGCCGTTGTGGGCCGTGATCTCGGCAAAGTCGCCATGGCGCCACACGTTCGGAAACACGTCAAAGTCTATGCAGCAAGTGTCATGCACGTCCATGGCGAAAAATGTGGTCCGTACATGCGCTAAAGTACTTGGATCCATCCGAGTCGCCATAAAAGTAGAGCGGCATGGACGGAAATGGCTTGAGGCAGACGAGTTCGCCCTGGGCCTGTTCAAGTTTTTCGCCATTGTCGCTGTAGATTGCAACGTCGAGACCAAGACCGCGGAGTTGAAGTTCACCGTTGTACACGGGCAAGTTCGTGCACCCCAAGGCAAAGCACCCGTTGAGGTCGGTGCCGCCCGAGATGGACGCAAACTGGATGTCCGACTTGATTTCCGTGTAAACAAAGTTGAAGATGTTTGTGCTGGCAGGCGACCCCGTCGACGCGAGCATCTTGAGCTTGGACAGGTTGAATTCCTTGCCAGGCTTGCAACCAGAGTCCATGACTGCAGCCAGGTAACGGGCAGACGTGCCGAACACCGTCATGCCGATTTCTTCCGCGAATTGCCACAATGCTGATACGCCAGGGTACAGCGGGTTCCCGTCAAAAAGGACGACCGTAGCGCCGACTGCAAGGCCGCTCACGAGCCAGTTCCACATCATCCAGCCCGTCGTAGTATAGTAAAACACAACGTCGTCACGGCTTACGTTCAAGTGCTATGGCAAACGTCGGTCATGATTGAAGCCCGCGCCATCGTACCAAAATGTGTTCCTTGAGGTGGTTTAGCAACACGCCAGGCCCTTGCACGATGCACTTGGGCAGGCCGGTCGTGCCGCTGCTGTACATGATGTAGACGGGGTGATCAAACGGGAGTTGTTCAAACTGGATCGGCGTTTGCACGGGCCCGTTCAATTCCGCGAGGAAGTGGTCCACGTATTGCGCGTTCGGCAATGCCGACAAATCCAAGTCGTACGACGGTGCGATCGTGTACCGAAAGATGACAACCTATGCGTTTGTGTGGAATAAAACAAATCCGTGAAAAGGAGCGCCAGACCTTTTGCACCGTGGGCAAGTCATGGAGGATGTCCTTCAATCCAGGAAGGGTGTCGATGCGCTTGCCCTTGTAAAAGTACCCGTCCGTGGCAAACACAACCTTGGGCGTGATTTGAGCAAATCGGTCCAACACACCGTTCTTGCCAAAGTCGGGGGAGCAACTCGACCAAACAGCGCCAATGCTACAAAATCGAATTAGCATAGGTACAAGGCAGCGACAGACTGTTCAACAACGAATCATCGTTGCCACTTCGACAACTCCCAAGTTGAGACCTTTTCACGAGAATACTCAATCAAGAAGCGTGGCCACCACAAACATGCGATGAAGTGGAGCAGTGGAATTTCATTCAACATCGAGGCGGACGCATGCCATAATATCCACGGGAGCAAGCAGTTTGGCATGATTCAGATGGTCGCGCTGAAGGAGAAGGGCCGCGTACCTGGTAGCAGCCAGCATGGCAACAATCGTATCGGGAGTGTTGGGCATGTATCCCACAACTCGATCGCCGACTGCAATGCCCAACTGCCGCAAGCGCTGGGACATCGCTGCAACTTGATCGTACAGTTGGTTGTACGTGATGCGAGTCGCTTTGTTCGACGTTTCAGATTTGAACACGAGAGCCGTGCGGTCGTCGCGGTGACGAAGCAAGTTTTCGGCGAAGTTGAGGCGCGCTCCAGGGAAAAACTTGGCACCAGGCATCTTGTGTTCATCTTCGATCACTTTCGTGTATGGTGCGGACGACAGCATACCAGTGTATTCCCAACTCTAGTAACGACAGATGTTGGAACGGCGTATTGGACAAGGAGATGTACTTACCGCGGCCCAAAAGTGCGACAAGTTGTCGACGGACCATTGCCACAAGTCGTGCACAGACACAAGCGACAAACTAGACGAGATCAAGTTGCATGAGATGGATGCTCTCGAGTACGGAACGGACGAAAGCTACTGCAGACTTGTCGTACCCATGCTTCTTGTTCACGAAGGCCGTGAACTTGGTCCAGTGAGAGGTGGCAATCAACTCGGGAGTGGGTGTCCAGACTACCCGCATGGTTGTGAGACAATCCAACCGCGCGGGCCCCCATCACTTACGGAGGTTCGAGTTCACGACTTTCGCGTCCACCATGAGGGTGTCGAAGAGGATTTTTCAAAAATGGCCCTTCACCTGCTCTGTGTGAGTGCAAGCGCCATCTCACTCGTGGCAATTGATAAAACCTCTCACAATTGATCTCATCACTACCATATGTCCTGTTAAGTTCCATCTAAATTGTCTTTATCTTTGTATTGTCCTTGCTGCATTGTTTAGGTGAGGACATATATTGCATGATATATTCTTGTTACGTTTCATCATCTTTTTGCCGTTTCCTGCAATATCGGATGAAAAATATTGTCCGATCTAGATACGGCTGGCTCGATGTGGCCAATTTTATATGCTTAGAAAGTCGTATATATTGTATTTGCATTTACTTGGAGTCATGCAAAAACAAAGTGTCGAGAAAACGCACTTAGGGAGCCTGGGATTCTGCAACTCGCTGCGAAACCCGCCAAGTGGGGCACATGACCGAAGCCGTGGAATGGAGTGATGTCACCGCCATCGTGCGAAGTGGCCCAAGCCCACCACTTGATCCGTACCAACAGATCCCTTTGTTCTAACTACGGTGGTGTCGGCGACCCAAAGCATCGTGCCTTCACGACCGCCCACGACGTGCACACGTGAAGCGATGAACCGTACCCAGCACAGCACAGGGCGATCTCATTCAGCCAGGATTGGTTCAGCTCTTCTCGGGTATGTGTTCTTCGCGTCCTCGGCACGGCTCCCCATGGTCCCTGTCGACGTGGAGTCCCTGGCGACGCCCTCCTGCCCTGTGTCAAGCTGGGATTTGTAATCTCTTTCATGTTTGTAAGCAATTGGAACAAACCATTTTGCCCTATGGTTTGTCCCAAAAGGGGCAAATGCACGGGCCAAATGGGCCAAATTCAGGTGGGAAGCAATAGTGGGCCAAATTGACCGAAGGAAACAATGAAACGGAACCGATGGAGCAGCGACGACGACGACAGCGACGAAGAGGTGCGTCGGCGGTCGAAGAAGGACCAAAACGACGGCAGTAATCGACCTGTCAAAGTCGAAGAAGCTACCTCTTTGACTGCCCTCCCACAAGCGCACCAACCTCCGTCCCCAGAGCGAACATGTGTCCGAAAAGGTCGTCCGGCATGCCGCGGTGTGGACAACTACGCTCGAATTGGCAAGATCGACGAAGGAACTTACGGAGTCGTATCGAAAGCCCGAGATAAAGCGACAGGAGACATCGTCGCGCTCAAACAGGTCAAGATGGCTCCAGACATCTGCAAGGAAGGGTTCCCCGTGACTGCTCTACGCGAAACCAACATCTTGCTCGCGCTGCAACACCCCAACATCATTCGGATGCGCGAGATGGTGGTGGGATCGACTCCAGACAAGGTGTACATGGTGATGGACTACTCGGACAACGACCTGAAGCGCGTGTTTGAGAAACAAGCGGCGACGAAACACCCGTTTTTGAGCTCCGAGATCAAAACGTTGCTCCAGCAATTGCTGCGCGCGATTGCCCACATGCACTCGAAATGGTACATCCACCGAGATCTCAAAAGCAGCAACTTGCTGTACGAACAGGGTGTGCTGAAAGTGTGTGACTTTGGCATGGCCCGCAAGTACGGCTCGCCCATTCGAACATATACCCAACTCGTCGTGACTTTGTGGTATTCTCACCGCGCTGCCGTCACCACATCGCCCTCATATCTCGCCACGTAGGTACCGAGCCCCCGAGTTGCTCTTGGGTGCGTTGCAGTACTCGACGGCCGTCGACATGTGGTCCGTCGGGTGTATTTTTGCCGAAATGATTCTATTGACGCCATTGTTTATGGGTCGAGGGGAAATCGACCAGCTCGACCAGATTTTCAAACTCCTCGGCGCCCCCACGGAAGCCAATTGGCCCGGCGTCGACCAGCTGCCCAACGTGGCCAACGTCAAGTGGAAAGGTGCGAAGCGATCGATGCTCCGCGACAAGTTTCCCGTCGCAAGCGTCATTGGGGGACAGAGTGTCCTGTCCAATGCTGGCTTTGACCTGATGCAAAAGCTTCTCACACTCGATCCAGCCCAGCGCATTTCGGCAAAAGATGCGTTGAATCACGAATACTTTACAGAGTCGCCGCCGCCAAAGCCGACCCACCTCATGCCAACATTCCCGTCGTCGACAGCGTAATCCTTCTGTGTCAACATTGCGCTCGTTCTTGGACCCTTGGGCGTGCGCATGCCAGAGCTCGAACAAAGGATGAACATGGTGGGGCGAAATCGTCCACTGCCGTGATTTGCCCAATCGTGATGAAGACAAGTTGCTCGTGCTCCTTTCTTGCGTGCTGAGTCGCGTGGAGTTTGTACGTCCCAGCGGCATCGTCGACATCGGCAGCGGCGGTGTCCACTTCGTGGACTGCCAGGACATCGTGCGCTTCCAACCCCAGTTGCCTTGGGTGTGGCCTGGATGTACTGGTGGCGTCTGGCGCCACGAGTGAAAGCTCACGATGGTCAGGTCACCGCTGGAAGTAGAGCCAGCACCGACAGCCGTCTGGTAGATCTGCAAAGACGTCGAGGTTTTGGTGCTTTCGTAGTGGAGTTGCGCGGCCAGAAGTAGCGTCAGATACCGCCACGGACCCAACCGTCGTGCCAATCCTCATGTGGCGTTGCAGGATCACTTTGTACATTGGAGATGGTGGCCGCCATAACACGCGTTCCGTTTGGATCGTGCGTCGGCCATCTTGAATGGACTCGAGTTCATTCCAACTCGGAACGGCGCGATCGTGTTGCATCAAGACGTGGAAATTCGTTTCGCCACTGGACCTTTCCAACGCTGCCGCTCGTGTCCGCTCGTCCCTCTTGTTGAGGGGATCGTGGCGGGATGCCTCGGAACCACAAACGAGGCGAAGCGGACTCGAGTGTGCCATGCGCCAAATTCAACGACGCTGGAACTGAGAGGTCGAAACTTGAGCACGTGCGGGCTTCACGTATGCCGTGCAAAGTGCCATGGCCATGGACCTTTTCAGCGACCGGAGACATGCGTCATGCGCTCCTGTGTAAAGAACCCAACGGTTCGCAAACAACGATTCAACAGGATGGTTTCACTACAGAGGACGAATCGAAAGGACTCCACTTGATAATGGAGACACGAGGACGCAGTAGCCATTCCGTTTGCGCTAGGCGATGCCGATGGTGACGCATGACGTGATGGCCCACTTGGGCAAATGCGAGCAACGTGGCGAACGAGCTAGACACTAGGTACAACTGCACGCACGCAATCCACTTGGCACCGGGGGCTAGACCGAGACCCTTGGTCCCAACCATGGCCCCGAGGATGTCTAGATGAGTCCCAAAACAAGGTTTTGTTGGAAGAGATCGAACCAGTGCACTGGAGGGGGAGTCGGACGAGAGGGTTTCCTCGGCAAGCCCCAACGCAGCCGCTGGTGAAGCCAGACACACCCAAGCGATTGCCAGTACCAAGGACCTTCATCGACCTTATCTCCAACAACGCTTGGATGGACGTTGAATGTCCCCGCTCCTCGTTCATCATCGGACCCGGCAACAGTACCTAGATGTTTCCCAAGATGCTCACAGTCGCACCGGTTTGGCGCGCTCGATCGACCATCGCAGTGCACATGCTCACTCGATCCCCAAGGCGAGCACTCACAACGCTGGCCTTGTCGTCTACCACAGCGAGATCGATTCCATCTCTCGCGCCAACATTATGTTGATATGCGGCAAGAGGATGTTGATGGCTTTCAAGCTCAAGTCCATGATCCAAGGCATGTTCAAGCACCTTGACAAACTCTCAACGAGCGAATTCAAGTGTGTATGCAATCGATGCGACCGTCCCAGACAAGCAGCACGAGCTCTGGCGTCCAGAGGTCCCGCTGAGGTTGACGAATCCCTCCAGTGTCTGTGGTGTGTTTTGTCTGTTTTGAATCTGCATTATATGATTGGTCAGTTTGACCAACTAGGGGCGTTTTGATTGGCTCGTACATGCTAGACATTTCGACGATCAGGTTGCCCAAGTCAGCTCCGAGCGCATTGATGAGGTCGGCTCATCCCGGCGACAATGCATCGTCAGCAGCTTTCAGCAATGTGTCCAAGACCCTTGACACGTGTCCTCCTACGGCAACGACGGATGGCTCGAACTTGTGCTTGTTTGGTCCGTCCGGAAGTGTCGACGACGAGGTTCTGCCACCTGCAGCAGGCAGCAGCATCTGGAACTTCTCTCATCGCAACATCTCCATCATTCGTACGTACCCGTCAGGCTACGGCGCCACATAGTACGTTTAACTGCTACCGATCCTTGTGTGTGGCATTCACGGGGTGGCCTTGCCGCTGCTCCTGGCCCATTCAAGCGACACGTTGACACGGATTTGTGTTGTAGTGACTTTTCATTCAATCAAATCGCGGCCCTTCCGACGAATCTATGGCCACTTTTGTCCACATATGGCATGTACGGACAAACCTCCGTCGAAGCGGATACACCTTTACCTTGAACAACTGCATTCCACAGGAACTTGAGTCACAACACCCTCCTCGCAATGCCTTCGGAAGTCGTGGTTTCGTGGCTGTACGCTATTGAGCCAGTCGCGTTTCTGATATAGCTCATGCGCACGTGCGTAGGGACGTAAGTTACAACCAAGGAGGGCTCGAGTGGCCACAGGTCATTCGATGGAACCTCGACATGCCCCGCTTGAGCCATCTGCACGTGATCCTCATCCTGATCAGCTCGTGGAATCCCTCGGCTGATGCGACGCATGCCGTGCTTGTACGTAGGTATTTTCGAGGCAACAACCTGAAAACACTGACGCTCTCGGCTTCCAATGCATTTCCCACAACACAGCCAGTCATCATGCACGTGCCTTGTTCGCGCATCATTCTGTCCAGAACTAACTTCATGGCCTTGGCAACTTTATAGAGATCTGCGAGACAACCCGGAGCTCGTTGTGGTCGTTGAAGACGCTGTGGCGTGGCAAAGTTTAGAGCCGAGTACATCTTCGCGCTTCGGTAACTCTGCGACTCTGGCCTCGGCGACAACATTGATGTTGGATGAGCCTTCTGGGCCCCAATCGTGTCCTGGGCGGATCCTGAAAACACTGTCGTCGGGTCTGGCGGTGTGTTGTAAGGGGGATTTCTGGTCGCGACCGACGGCCATGAATGCCACTGAGTTGCCCGCCACGACGGTGCCGACCCCAACCAGCTCGAAATTCGAGCGAGGTACGTCGGATCGACGTGTTTGGTGACACTCGCTAAGTGGCATGCCCAGAGTCGGACTTTTACCTGATGACGGGTCTCCTTGGCTGCTCGTTTGGACTGTTCGCTGTGGCCTGCTACGTGGCTGTCACCCGGTTCACTCGCGCTGACGACGCCACGGAATCGACGTCAAGGGAAACCTTGTGCACATCCCCTTGAGCACATTAAAGCAAACGAGATTTGTCGCCGATGTGCCTGCCGCGGGCTGCTGAGAGTATTCCCCATACCACGAACGCTTGAACATGTCACTTTTGCGTACGCAAACATCTTGCTGACTGTTGCGAACGAGAAGCTCGCCTCATCTTCTACTAGCACCAACCCCTTCATGTTTCCACAACTCGAGTCTGCAGCATTGCACACGTGAGGTCCTGTCGGCC